TTGGCCTGCTAAACCCAGGGTTGTGAGTTCAATCCTTGTGGGGGCCATTTTGGGAACTGGGATAAAATTCTGTCTGGGGATTGGTCCTGCTTTGAGCAGGGGGTTGGACTAGATGACCTCCTGAGGTCCCTTCCAACCCTGATATTCTATGATTTTTCTGCTTGCTCAGCCCCTGTCCCAGAAGCTGGGGAACTGAGCAGCCACCTTCAGCCCCATGAGAAGTGCTCTGTCCTGCTCCCTGTCTGGCCCAGCTGTCAGGGACAGGGGATGATTGTGCTGGGGAGAGGTGCAGCAGGAGGACAGAGCCCCCACCCTGCAGGTACCTGGTGGAGTGTGGCCATCCCCGGGCAGCTAGGCGCAGGATGGGGGTCACTGGGGAAGACACCAGGAGCAGGTTCCCTGGCCTTTGCTCAGCCCAGGCTGGGCCAGGCCCAGAGGCACATGCTCCCCATTCCTGTGGCCCTCAGGGAGGGAACTGTCGGGATGGGCTGCCCTGGCCCAGGGAGGTGGGGCTGGAAGTTCCTCCCAAAGGAGGCACGTGGGGTGTTCTCATTTACATTGCATTCCCCCTTTCCTCCCCCCAGTATCACGAGGCAGGAGTCACCTATGAATGCCTCTCCTCCCCACAGAGGGGCATCAAGCACAAGAGATCCCTTTCACAGCCTCAGAGTGAGGAGTTCAGTGAAATCTGCAAAGTACAGTGCTGCCCCCTAGTGACTAATTAGCCTGAATGTCATTCTTCATCACAACACAGTTCTAATTGAACTTTGATAAAAAAAAATTTAATTTCCCAGGCAGCAGCAGTGTGCTGCGTGCGACACAAGGCAAATAAATATTGATGGACACTCTCAAACCCTAGATGCTTGCAAGCTAAGTGACACTAAGATACAGAGAGGAAGGTAGAAGGGTAGCTGTGCGTAGATGAGGTAATAGAGGTTTCATATATAGTTTTTCAGAACGTGCTGAAATGTGAACAAGCGATGCGATTGCAGTCCTGATTTCTGCTGCATCTGTTTCCATTTGAATTATTTTGCTCTGATCTATTTTTCATACATTTCTGAACTGACACGAGATATATTTGCATTAAATGGTATAAAAATCACAGCTCTTAGTGGAACATGACTCCTTGTTTCTGAACTCAAGGGCTTCTCTGTTCAGCTCTATCATCTCTTAGTTCACTTCTAACCCCTTTTGAGAGCTCATTTGCAGCACAGCCAGAAAGTGCCTTTTTTGTTGTTTGAATCCCCTTTCTGCATGGAGTCTAATTTAATCTCCTTCATGGCACCAACCCAGATTGAAATTAAGTACATGAAGCAACCTGGTGATCTGGCATTTTAGTGTTTGATATTAAACACATGCCAGGAGTGGAGCTATGCATAACCTATGCCTTTGGAGACTTCAGGCCCAAAGCATGGAGAGAAGACAGACAGCCTGTTTAATGTACAACCTGTGAACTAAGTTTCCTATGTCCACCCATCCATTAGAACGTAGGTTAGAAAGAAGGGAAGCCCTGTGCCCTACAAGCCCATCTAGGAGCCTGAGCAAGGTCATATATGGACAGGAGATCATGCACTTCCCTCCTCCCTCCAAACTACTCAGTCCTCTCCCTGCTGCACATCTCTCATTCCTTAGGTAATAGAAGTCCCAACTTCCACCCATTCCAGTTCCCAAGCCATAAGACACCCTCCCACACCCTTCTATCATATAGGGCTCAGTTTTCCTCCCAGTGACAAAACCCTTTATCCCTTTCTAACTGCTAAGTCCCCTTCCTTTCCTTCTAGCCGATGAAATCATTTGGACCATCTCACTTTCCATCTCCTGAGGCCCTGCCTAACTTATTCACCCCCTAGTGAATCCCAGCGCTATCCCTGCTCTGGACCATCGCCCACGCAGAGGTGCACCAGTGATGAAAGGAGCAGTCAGCACTTTCATTTCATTGTAGGTGCATGTTGGGAATTTTGTCACATATCTCACTGTAGGCAGCGGGGGTAGCACCACCTATACAGAAGGATGCCTGACACTTCCCCATTATAAGATCTGGTTTCTAATAACTCTGCCTGTACATAGCACTCTAGATCTGTTGCTTCACAGGTGAGAGGAGACGCCAAGCTGGTCAAAATGGCTGTAGCAGACACGCACCACTAGCCACAGTTCTCTTCTTGGGAGATTTGGAAAACTCATTTACCGCAAGTAGATCTTTTCAGCAAGTGTGCCCGGCTGAAAGGGGGAGATCTGAGGTACATCTAGAAAATAAGGGAATTTTAACATCAGCAGCATCTGGAACGGACCATTTAGCCTGGTCAGTTAGGTATTAGTTGCCTTTTACCTTCTATTTGTATGTAATCAATTCTTTTATGTCTCATTACTTGTGATCACTTACGCTCTTTCCTTCTGTAGTCAATAAACGTGTTCTATCTAAACCACCGTGTTTGGACTGAAGTGTTTGGGAAACTCCATTTGGGGTGACAGGATTTGTGCATAGCATTTTCTATTGATGAATGATGGACTTTATATGAGCTTGTATTGTCCAGGTGGGCGCTGGGAAGTGCAAGACACATTTCTGGGGGAGAGTCTGGGACTGGGAGTTTGCTGGTGTTGCCCTGCAGTGTAATTCATGAGTGGCTGGCATAGCACTCATATAATATAACTGGGAGAGAATTGCATGCTGGAGGCCGGGTGTGAGCAAACCAGGAGCGGTTGCTCTCACAGTGAAGCAGTTTAAAAGGTGCCCCAGGTTGGAGAATTGAGGGAACATAGCAGTTCAGGCTGTACCTGGGGAATGTCACAGTAAGGGAGAATTTTCATAAGCACAGTTGATGTGTGGGGCTGCAACCAGATTATCAGCCCAGCATTGGGCAACAGCTGGAGTTCTAGTGCATGTAGGTGTACAGGCATTAGGCAGTATCCCTTTAAATAATGGGGAGACCTCACATGGGCCTCCCTGTCTTCTCTAACACAAATATATACATGTAACTAGATGTTGTATATAGCTAGTAAACACATGGTTGTTTGGGACCCAACTGTGTTCATGTGGTTTCCTCTTATTTTTAATGTGTTGAGAGCAAAGACAACAGCGAGGCACTAATACTATGGTGGTTAATGTGGTTTAAGTAGAGTCAGTTCCTCGACTGTGTCCTCTACCTTTGGTTACAGAGCAGGAGACAGAGATGTTCCTGTACGATATCGTTACAATGAAGTTCTGAACACTTAAGCTACAGGGAGAGATACACCACTAGAGAGGGCCAGGAAATTATCCCCCCTGCACAAACAATGTTGCAAAAACAGAAATTCTCATTTTTTGTTGAAATGTTTGATCTTTTCACCAAAATAAAGCCCCCCAAACACTCAGCTCCTGACCATGGAAAATTTCTATATTTTTATGAAAACCCAAACAATTGTGATGAAAACGGAAATGTATTGAAAAAATTCTATCCGCTCAAAAAGCCATTTTCCATCAA